TAATATTAATGCGATATTGATTTATTTCACGATTCTTTTTGGGCCCAAATAAAATGCAGCATGATTTGCCAGGATTTAGTTTTAGATTGTGAGCCCTAGATATGTCAAAAATAGACTGCAGATCTTGATTGATTTGATGTTGGCCAAGCATATATTCATCAGGATCGAAGCAGTTATAAAGTTGGGTATCATCGGCGTAATGATGAACGATTGAGTTGCTGGCGGTATCATGAAAATCACATATATAAAGAGCAAATAAAAGGGGACTCAAAATAGATCCTTGAGGGACACCAAAATTTCTGAATAAAGATGTTGATATATTGTTTTCATATATGACAGACTGTGAGCGATCAGTTAAAAAGCTCTTAATCAGCGTGCAAGCCGATGATGACAGGCCAAAGTATCTAAGCTTTTTACAGAGAATATTTGGGTCAACCGTATCGAAGGCCTTGCTAAAATCAAGAAGAACTAAGCAGGACAGCTTTCCTTGATCAGCCGCGCTATAAATATTATCCGATATAGACAGGAGCGCAGTGGTGGTGCTATGTAATGGTCTGAAGCCAGATTGGGAGGTGGTCAGTAAATTATTTTGACAAACAAATGAGTGCAGCTGCTCATGTAGAGCCATTTCCAAAAGCTTAGATAAACTTGGTAAAATGCTTATAGGACGAAGATCAGAAAAACTTGAAGGATAATTAGATTTAGGCAGAGGGAGAACAAGAGCATTCTTCCAGGAAGATGGATAAAGATTATTTGTTATACAAAAGTTAATAATGAAGGTAATATACTTCAGCAAATGCTTATGTATTATACGGATCATATCAATTGTGATGCCATCTGAGCCTTTAGCATGACTTTTGATGCGATTGATAAATTTCTCTACAGTGGCAGGGGAAACTGTCGTGAACAGAAAAGTACCACTATTCTTGACGTTTTCATATTTGTCTAAAAGGTTCAATTGAGTTAATGATTTGGTTGTTTGAGGTACGTTTAAAAAAGCACTATTTAATGAATCGGAATACTGAAGATGTGGAGGTAGACTTATGGAGTTATGTTTAACGATATTCAAAGATCTAAGTATATTCCATGTAGTCTTCGAATTTTTATGTCTCATAACGTAATCGAGGTAGGCTTTTTTCTCTCGCCTAATAGCACTACAGACATAATTTCTGATTTTCTTATAGAATTCCCAGGCAGCAATCGTTCCTGTACGTTTAAATTTTTTATATGCGTCACTTTTTGTTCGCATCATGAGTTTTATGTTGAATGTTCGCCAAGGAGCTGGTGGCTTGGTAACTCGAATGTTTCTGACAGGAGCATGCAAGTTGAAGGTGCACAAGATATTAGAGCTCAGGAAGTCAATCATTTGATCCACATCTCTCAACGTATATATAAAATCCCAGTTTATTAAAAGTAAATCATGGTAAAAATTGTCTAGGCTAAAGGTAGAGTAATCACGATATGTCCTCAGTTTACATAGGTTGCCTATCTCCGATGCATCTACATAAAATATTAGGGCTAGATGGTCAGATATTCCATCTACGTCAACAACTTCATAACCACTTATTATATCAGCAGAGCTAACCATGAGCAAGTCTATAGCTGTCTGGCTATTGGAAGTTATACGTGTGGGCTCTTTCACTAACTGAGACAGATCAAAAGACTCAAGAAAACAGTTCAGCATCTCGGATCGGCCGTCGTTCACTAAAACATTAATATTAAAATCGCCCATGACAATTGCGTAATCATTATCGAGTGAAAGGTTGGTTAAAGACTCAGTTAATTGATGAAAACAGTCAAGCACGTTTGCCGATGGTGGACAGTAGACTATAGCTAGACAATATTTGCGTTGATTAACCTTTACAGAGATCCAAAGTTCTTCCAATATAAAACGCGACGCCCCCGCCTCTGCTATTTCGATCTGCTCTAACGACATTGAAGTCGTTGATAAATACTGAGGAGGAATCAATATCTGGGGTTAGCCAAGGTTAGTCAAGATATAAATGATTTTTTTGATAGCAATGTACCTCTTTCATGATAACTTAATTTGGACAAAATAACACAATATATCTCAAAAAATGGAGCAGAAAATGTACAAACATCTAATCACAAAAAATGTTACAAACCAGGTGTAGAATTCGAAAATGTAATAAAATATGGATTATGCTATTTAAAAAAATGATGCTCACTCTGAGTATCCAAAAATATAATTAAATAAAGCTTTTATTCAAACTAAAAATTTTTTGTGTGTAACTTTTTTCTATACACTGGGTTTCAGAGATGAAGAGACGGATGGAGTCACATTGGCCACCTTGTACAAATAAGAAATCGGATTCTGGACCTTTCCAGCACTATCTAGTTGAAACTTCAACAAACAGACAGACAGTAAAAGCTATGACTGAACAATGAGATTTTATAAAATAAATTGAAAATTGACTATCTAAAATTTGACAATTTTGTTTACAATACTTTTCATGCAAGGCTCTCATTTCGGTAACTGAGAGGTCCGAGTCACATTTCCAGCTGTTAATATATTTAAGAACCCACAATAAATAATTTCTCTTCAGATGTTGCAAAAATGTTTCGGGTGCCTAAGTTTTCGATAATATCCGACATTGTCAAACGTTGAATTGAGAGATATCACAGATATAAGATCTAAGTAACATGAATAATTCTATGATTTTCAAGCATAACTGTTCATCACCTGATGACGTCATAATATAAGCCCTAGTTTTGGGAAGAACTCGGATATAATCAAAATCACATTGTCCGGCCGTGTTTCCCACCGCATCGCAATAAACACGAAGGTGACAAAAAACCAATTTGGCCAGCTGCTAACGATGCATTGGGCGATCGTGCCTTTCATTTCCTCTGATTAAACACGCCCACATAAAATTCGATCTATGTAGTTATTCAGACGCGGAAAGCGCAATAGAATACAGAAACCAGCAGTCTGAGACTACGGCCATATTACGACACCTTTAGAGAAACTAGGTTGGTTAAGTGCTGCAAAATTATATAAATATCATCTTTAACTCCAAATGCTCTCAGTACCTCCATGTTTAAAGGAAAAGCTAATAAATCGTACCTGTATTAATTCAAGAGATATTTGCTTCCCAAATACCGTCACGTTGCAGATTCACAGAACTTCGTTTTTCTATAGAGGCTTCACTTTCAGTGTGACTTATCTATACAGGGTGGCGCATCGAAAACGAAACAGACGGATTTACTTGCAGCCGAGTTTTTTTTTTTTGGAAAAACGCTTATACCCGTCGATTTTGTTTTCGAGGGGGACACAAGTGCAGCTTCCTGGGCGGGGGTGACACCAACCCTAAAATCTTAAATGGAAAGGGGGGTCGAGTGATACCTTACAGGTATTATAAAGGTCTTTCAATACCCTTTATATTGATATAAAACTAAATGTACTTTAGTTCAGTAATTTTGAAGGTTTATTGATTTAAAGCTTAAAGTAGACTTTGATAGGTACATCCGATTAGTTTGTACTATTTTCAGAAGAAATTTGACTAAAAGAATTTACTTGATAAGTAAATGATTTTCTTCACTACGCCCATGGTTTGTTTATCATTTTGTTGTTGAAGATAGCTATTTTAGCGTTTTTTTGTGTCAAAAAAGTTATTTCTTGAAAAAAGATAAGGAAATATTTTAAATAGGAATTTAGTACATAGTTTGCGATTGATTTGACCAAACTTTGTTGCTAAAATGAACGAATTATAAACGATGAACATTTTCTGTTCAACACTTGCTTTTCCGACGAACGTTCCTTTTTCTTAAATGGCGTAGTAAATCGTCATAACTGCCGATATTGGTCCGATTGTAATCCCAGAATTTATCATGAGGTTCATACACAGCAGCCACAAAAATTAAATGTTTGGGCTGGTGTTTTTGGCGATCATTTAGTTGGTCCTTTTTTCTTACCTGTAAATTTGAGCGGTGAAATGTATTTGGAATTACTGGAAGACGCCATAGATCCTGCATTAACAGCCATAATTGAAAATCAGAATGATCGGTGATACATTGCGAATAGGTTGATGTTCCAACAGGATGGTGCCCCACCACATTACGCGTTACGTGTTCGATAATATTTAGATCAGACGTTTCCAGATCGATGGACTGGTAGAAGAGGTGCCATTGAATGGCCCCCAAGATCGCCAGATTTATCATCTTTGCATTTCTTTATGTGGGGTCATTTAAAAAGCAAAATCTATGCTACTCAGCCAACATCATTAGAAGACATGCAATAAAGAATGAGTGCCTTCAAATTACTCCTTAAATATTGCAAAATGCGCGGCAACGTTTTGAGCAAAATCTTTATTATTGCATGGAGAGTCATGGTGGCCATTTACTTGCCTAACGGGTCAGTTCATTCTTCATTTTTAAATTACTTTGCTGCCAAATGTATTGATCTCCACTAATGATGATGTATTAGTTTTGTTTAAGCTTTAAATCGATAAATCTTCAAAACTACTGAACTGAAGTCCATTCATTTCATATCATTATAAAGGGAATTGGAAGACCTTTAAAATAAGGTATCACTCGACCCCCGTTTCCATTTAAGGTTCTGGGAGTGGTGTCACCCCTGCTTAGGAGGCTGCACGTGTTAACGTGATGATTTGTCAAACTTGTGTCCCCATCGAAAACAAAATCGACGGGTCTGAGCGTTTTTAAAAAAAAACTGAGCTGCCAGTAAATGCATCTGTTTCGTTTTCATAATTCATCACCCCCTGAAATTAAGTCTTTAACATTTGACAACTTGTCTTGAATCTGCTTTTATAGTGCAAAAGTTGAAAATGCTCGTCTTTCACTTCTGCTAATGGCAAAGTACTTATGCATCAATTAAATTGTTCAAATTTCAGCCTGCTAAATTAATTCGTTCAGAAAATAAGTAGCGATTGCTGATTTTCCAGGATTCAAAAAGAAAGTCACTATAGTACGTCATTTTATTTCAATGCTGTAACAACTATGAGCTATTGTTTTTCCAGTGATATAGTTCTAAACAGATGGAATGTGTCCTGTAGATGCCCAAAATCTGGAATGGAATGGAGTTCCATGTATGGAACGTGTGTGGATATTGACGAATGCGCTATACGTGGTAAACATAACTGTGACCGAAGGGTAGAATCATGTGTGAACCTGCCAGGAAGTTTCAGGTATGTGGGTAGGTTAAATTTAATATTTTTTTGTAATGTTTATCACGCCTTTTTTTTCTTTTTAATATCCGTAGAATCTTAGCATAAGCAGGTATTGAAGCTTATTCCTGCCAAACCAAAAATTATAAATTTCGGCAGTAATAAGGGTCACCGTTTATTTCCTGAAATGAAAAATATCAGTATCCAAGCATATAAGTTTGTGATTCTGTCCGTAATTTAGGTGTGCTAAAGGATAATCAGTTGCGCTTTGAGGGACATTTAAAAGAATACTACAGAAAGCTAATATTTCGTTGAAACTAACATATGGTAGCCGACATTTTCAACCACAATTCGACAAAAATATGACGAGAAGCTTTAGTTTTGTCCCATTTCAATTACGCAGATTTCCTTCACGGCTCTTGCTTCAAAAGGATCAGATTGTTATAGAATTAATGAGGTTCAAAATATGTGCTTCGTATATGGCTTGAAAAAGTATGGTCCGTCAGAAAGAACACATGTTTTTCAAGGTACTAGTACAGTCAAAATAAATATGGGAAAAATTTTATTATATCAAAATACTCAGAAACAAATGCCATTTTTTTGAATAAAACAAAATTTATGTTCTAAAAACTATGTCGGCCATATGGCGCCCGTGAACCGAAATGCAGGAATCAAGCCTTTCCCGAACTGAGCCCATTGCGTGCAGGACTTTGTGTTACTTCTCTTCTTATTTCCTCCTTCAAATCGAAGAGGGTCCGAGGCTTGCTTTTGTAAACTTTTGATTTCAGGTAGCCCCATAAAAAAATCACTCAAGTAGTTCTAGTTCTACCGTCCTGGATATTCGGAAATGTTATAGAGTTGGGAACCATGGAGGAGAGGCTAGACAGCTGCCTTCTTAGGTCACTTACTACCGCCTTCAGTTCTCGCCAAGATAGTTTCCTTTCAGTATTTTCTTTATCCATGTTTCTGTTAATTCTATTCAATAGTCCCATATCTGTTATTTGAACTGTCTTAACTTTTAAAAATAGATTCTTGTGCTGTTTGTTGAACTACAAGTGGAATTTTATGGTTGATACATGCCATTAGAAATACATTACATGTGTCTTTTGTGGTAATTTCTTATATAACGTCTTAAATCATTTAAATTCGCAGTACATTTCCTATCATGTGACAAACTTTTTAGTTTGATTTTATTCAAAAATGGCACGATTTATCGATATTCAATAAGAGTACCTTTTTTATGTAGAAAACCCTAAATTTTCAAATTCTAAAATTGAATTTCAAAAATAGAATCACACAAAAATTTTGGAGCTAAAATAACCTGAGTCCGTCCCTGTTACATAGGCTTCCAAACAAAACTGTCTAAAATTGTCAATATTTTTAAATCCAGCATAAAAACTAGGTTAGCATAGCAAATTTTATGTCTTTATCTCAACACGTTTCGGAAATATTAAGGAAAAACCATCTTCAGGGGACCGTAGCGCCCTTAGGGGACGTTTATCGACCTATGTTTATATAAACTTTTCTTTCTATTTTAAGCTCTAGAAACTGCTGGTAGAATATTGCACACTTTTTTCGGGACACCCTGTATATTTAATATCTGAATATATCTTTAAAAGCTATGACCTACCACTTTTAGCACTGTTCTATACACTTCATTCGCAAGAGTGTCAGACTGGAGATGCTCAAGTGGACGGCTTTTGGCAGAAAGGAACCAACCGAGAAATACAATTATTGATCAATTAGGCTTTAATTTTTGACAATATTAAAAAATTCACTTTAGACAGAAAACGATTTTAATTATTGGCATAATGTGTTTACAATATAACACTAAACAACTTATAACAGTTCAATATTTCATTTTATTAAGTATCTTGAACAAATGTTTAACTTCTACGGGCTCCTTTTTTTGGTGTTTATGTGCTCCTATACGACGCTTCGCCCATTGCTGTGGTCGTCCAGTCCACTTGCAGATATTTTGATATTTATTTCATTATGAAAACTGCACAGATGTGTCTCCAGTATGCCACAGTTATTAACCTAAAAAAAGTACCATTGTTATACGAGGTTTATACGAGGGTCATTTTTTAAGTAAGAACCGTTTTGTAATCGAGTCAGAGAAACTTTGTTTATGGATGTAAATTGTATCACAATCTAAAATATGAACATTTTTTCATTTTTCCCACATAGCCACCATAAATATTCAAACACAAACCAAGTCGAGGCACCAGTTTTTGGTTAATGTAGCATCTGAAACTGATCATGTGGTTTTCATGTCGATAATCCCCCTTACTGATACTTTACCCTCGTCCATAGTCCCGAAGACGCCAAAAGCCCGCCCCAAAAGAACGCGAAAACCAACCCAGAACTGTTGTCGTAACACACTGGTTAACTGTTATGCAATCTTCGGCTAAAATGTTGCAACCTCAAAATTAGCATAGGATAAAATGGAATGAAGTCTCAATACCACACAAAGATGATAACCGTTACAAAAGCAATGTAAAGGAATCAGCCCATATTAATTTACCAATAACTGACTTTCTAGTTCTTCTGGGACCCAATTTGGTTGAAGATCCTCGAAGGAAAGACCTAAATGATATTAACCAACCAAACTAAATGATCATGAGTTTTTTATAGCGGCGTAGTGAGAGACTGACCAAGAGAGTCTGAGCTAGAACGGTCTTCGTGTTACAGAATGCGCGATTGGTCCTTACTTTAAAAACGCCCCCCGAGGTTCGCTGACATCTTTCTGATAAGTTGTTAGAAAAATGAAATTTGTGAAAGCTTTCTTCTAGGGCGCCGCTGCTTTTTGCAATAGGTTTTTAGATTTTATATTTCTTGATAAGATTGACTTATCGGGTAAGACGTTAGAGAAACATGAAGAACAAATAAGTTCAAGATTATATAAAAAATACATACCTCTTCACTATTTCAATTATCAATTTAGTTGATGTTCCTTCTGCATGTACCAGCCCGTAATCATCTTCAAGAGTGTGAAGAACTATAACTTTTGGCCTCAGAATGTAAGTTTCCCAATTATGCCCCTGAATTTCTTCACAAGTTGTATGAAAATCGTGAACACTTTTAGAAGATTTTGCTTGGAACCTGGCTATAAGTATTTCGTAAATCTTCATCAATATTTTGATAGTAGATCATACTACTATTATCCACAGTTTCATCTACAAAGGGATATCACATAAGTACTCCGATTTAAATAATATCTCTCCTTATTTTGAAACATCAAGTAGGTTGACTCTGCATTTCATGGGTAATAGCACATAGTTTTAGTAGACAGCTTTTGACCTTCTTATGGTAAATTTTGAAGATTTATCTATTGGGAACGTTTCCAAGATCCTCAACAGTTCCTTCTATACGTCAGTGGCCCGTGAAGTTCAAACCAACCTTCTTGATGCCATACTCTCCAATGCTTACCCTGTAAAAATGTTGATGTTTGATGTTTTCTTGTATTGCATCATACTATAAGTCGGGACTTTCATTCTTAACATGTTTCTATTGTTCCTATTCAACCTCTACCTTTATCCATAAACATTCATCCAGTTATCCAGGCAGAACATTTTTTGGAACAGGTATCTATTATATCACGTTAATCACTCTCGGGAGGTCTATAACTTGGGCCAGTCCTGAAATTAGGAGTCTCCTCCCTAGAAAGCTTGATAAAAATATTTGGACAGTGATTTTGAAAGAAAACCTAAAACTTTCCGGACAGCAGTTCTGTAAAATACGTAAAAACGAGGAAAGTGCACATATCTTAGCTAAAAATAGATATGTTCGTAAAATATGTACCCAACAGAAATAGCAAATAGAGAATATAATTCAAAATTGGCATTATAATAAATATATCACTATCATAAAATTTATCACAGTTCGTCACCATTCCTGGAATACGCAATGGCCTCACCCTCACCTAAAAGCTGAAAAAACTAAGAAAAACACTTTCCCTATGATTTTAAGACATAATAATCATAGGCACCATACTTATGAAATACGAAATAAGAATTGCGGTAACCCATTGTGGTTGTAAATATATTTTCTCGATAAATTGAGATGTTTTATCCAGCTGGCAATAGTAAAATATACATAATTAATACCAAATATAATTAAAAAACGTAATAAATATAGTTTTGGAGACCACCGGGGGGGCACAGCCTGCCTCCTGGGGCATCTTGCCTTATATCTGTAATGATCCTACTACTAGCCCTACTATCACTAAGAATTACCTACCAGAACTACTACTGCTACTACTACTACTACTACTACTACTACCTTCTTATCTAGTTAATTAGCATTTCCGAACACACTTACGAAACCTGAACATTTGACATCCCTCAAACACTGGACGATTTTACGTCAGCCACGTGTTTCGCAAGATGTCTCTCCAAAAATATTAAACACACGAAAATACCTCTTCATTATTTAAATTATCAATTCAATTGATGTTCATTCTACATGTATCAGCCTGTAATCATCTTCAAGAGCGCGAAGTAGTATAACTTTTGGCCTCAGAATGTTAGCTTCCCAGATATGTCGCTGAATTTCATCAAAAGCTGTATGAAAATCGTGAACATTTTTAGAAGCTTTTGTTTGGAACCTGGCTGTAAATATTTCGTGAAGCTTCATCAATATATTGACAGTAGACCATACTATTATTGTCCACAGGTTTATCTACAAAGAGAATTCACATAAGTAATCCCATTTAAATAATACCTCTGCTTATTTTGAAACATCAAGTAGGTTGACTCTTATTTCATGGATAATAAAATACGAGTATAGTTTAAGTGGAAATCTTTGAGTCTTCTTAGGGTAAGTTCTGAAGATATCTCTTGGGAACGATTCCAAGATCCTATCTATACTTCAGTGGTTCGTCAAATTTAAAACCAACCTTCTTGATGCCATACTCTCCAATGCTTACCATGTAAAAACGTTGATGTTTGTTTGATTGTGATTTTCATGTATCGTAGCATACTATAAACGACTTTGATCATTCTAAGCATTTTTCTATT